TAACCAAAAATAAGAATTTGGCATGTTTCAAATATATATTATTATTTATAAGTAAATTTTCTCCATCTCACTGTGAGGAACCTCTTCATCAATATAATGTAATGGCTATATACTCCATCCAGATTTAAAAGAATTCATGTACTCAAGTATATGATATAGTCTCAATTAAGTTTCCTTGCCATATCTTCAAAAAAAAAAAAAAAATTCTTTGCCATAAATGAATATTGTTTAGGAAAAGATATTTCTAGCTAGATTGTTCATAAAATTTAAACTGAAACATCGTATATGACTAATCGTATAATTCAACAATATATCACGACCATATGTGTTCCTCGAGAGCATTAGGTTTCCACTCTTTAGGTGCTTGGCGTTGATATATATATAGAGTGCAATGTATGCATGGATAAGTAGAAGTGGTGGTCAACATCTTGCAAATGAGGTGTATGAGGGTGATCGATTGACTAATTGAGTTTCACAATGAATTTTAAAGCTATACTATGTATGTTATTAATTTTGTTCTATTCTATTAGTGGACAAAAAATAAATAAACCCTATGTAAAATGAAACTACATACCTGAAAGAGTTTGTTTAATTTTGCGAGTTTAGCTTAGACATGATCAACCTAAATAGTCTTGAATATAGACTGAGTATTTTAAATTTCATAGATAAATACGGAGTATGATTATTCTCATTAGGCTATGCACTAATAAGGTTATGGTATTGAATATTGTTCTAATGGTGGCATAAGTTTGCAAGTGACATGCATGAGAAATATGCATGTTTAATGTACTTACCGTCGCATGAAGCTCATGCATGCAATAATGCTGCGCTCTAGTTACACATTCACACACGCATGTTGCTTGTTTTGTTTTGAATTAAGAAATTGGGAGGTGAATACGTCCAAAAAAGATTCAACAAAAAAGCAATAAATTCAAACTTTTTTATATATAATTATTATATACTTCGTAACTAATATCAATAGGATAATAAATTACTTATAAATCCTAGCTAGATTATCTCTAGCATGTTAATAAGCAAAGTGGAAATGGTTAATATGATTAGTACAAAATATATATAGATTGTCAACTTATCTATTTTATTGATTTTTTTAAAATTGATCTATCACCTTAAATATTAGTAACATACTTGAAATTAGTCATCACCATTCTCAAAAAGTGATTATAACAATGATCAATTAGTGAAACTTACATATATCAGTAATGTTTGATTAGTGGTTGTAAAACAATATTCGAGGGAAAGGGAAGAGGGTCAAATTCATAATACGTAGTATATCTTGAAACTATACATTATATCATAAAGTATATTATTAGGTTAAATAATAATGTGGTTGTCGATATCAATACATTCATACTTTTATGATTTGAATGATTCTACGAATAGCAAACTTTTTATATAACGGTAGCACCACATATTTTGAATTACATATTAATTTATGTGATACAAGTTGGTCCGAGAAATTCCAAGGAATATAAAAATAAAAATAAATATAAAAAAAGAAAGGGCTAAAAAACAATAGTCGTATAAGATATGATGACATGGCTTAAGTTGGAAAGTTCCTTTAAATTTCAATGACAAGACGAAGCAACATCTTTTCTTGGGGGTTCATTGCACAAAATAACAGAAGAGGAGATTTTGATTTGCTGCTCTGGTCCTCATCTTATGCGCTACACCTGCACACTTCATCAAAGTACCTCCAAAATCTCTTACTTGGCTTCTATGGTACCACGTGGAAACTTCTTTTTCTCCTTCGTTTTGTGGGCTCCACACGTTCAAGTTTATTTTTCTGACGAACACGTTTAAGGTTTTCAAATGACCTGTTTTGACCTTTATATTATTTACCATATTACTTTGATTAACATTTGTGCTATATACAATATATAAGATTAACTATAATCATATACGTACTTGTTAGAATTGCCTCTATGTATTAATTTTTTAATAATTCATATATAATATATTAATATTACCAAAGAGTATTACCATAGACTAAAAATTACTTGTACATATAGTCATTTGAAATTCTTCATTTGTTTTTCTTATATTTTGACTTCTTCACTATTTACATACTATAATATGACTATTCGAAGATAAAAGCATAGTTTTATGAAATTTGTCAGAATAATTGAAACTATCAACCTTGTAAATGTACTCAATAATATTCTGAAATTGTAGAACAGACTCATCAGAGTTAACAAATACGAAGTATGTTATTGTAAAACTTAGCTTGTAATTATTAACAACAGTAACATATTAACATTTATCTATAGTTTTCATTTGTGGGTCGATGGGTCCTATATCTATGGCATTCTATCCTAGATAATAAAGGAGGTGATTTGGTGTCTGCAAATTATTGAAAACAAAATTATGCTTTGTTTATCTTTATCTTCTTTTTCGTTGTATGAATTGATTCGAAATTGATATAAAATACATTAGCCATGATTCCAACAGTTTGTAAATTAAGGCACGGCATTACTTTTGTCACCTAGTCTATTCACATATCCTTTGCTAACTATTTGACCTAATATTATCCCAACTCTTTATTTTGCCTTTTCTTAAATTTATAAATCCAAATTATTCTACAATAAGAAAATATAACTTCCTATAATGTTCTGCTTGAGTAATCGATGTGATGTGAGAGTGAAGGTTTTGTTTGCTCTAGTTGATCGAATTCATGCATAACTCTTTCTTGTTATTTCATCTCCGGTTATAAGGAATATGAGAATGCAAGCTACTAGAGATAAATAAGGTAGGGGCTTTGAGCTACATACCAATATAGGGAAAGGCACAAACGTAACACAATGATAAAAAGAAATGTTACTCTTATGTATGTTGTACATAAAATGACAGACATTGGAGATCGATTTAGATAAAAATATATAAAAGATCGAAATTCCAAGATCCAAAGAGTGCTGATCAAGTAATGTTAATATATTCTTACATAATTAATTTTTTCCATTCATCAAAATTATTTATATCAATGTTAATTTATGTTTCTATTGTATACTTGTGACATTATAGTTAAGAATATAACTTCGATGAATTTCAAGTATAATATTTGCCCTGACTTTATATCGAATAACTTGATCAATACTTCTAACTAACTAAATTAGGTCATTGACCATTGCTAGTGATAAAATGTTTTTGTTATTGGACCATTATTTGGTGTAACAAAGTAGGGATATGGGTTTGAAAACTAGGTATGTGTAGATAGATTAATCAATAATGTGGTAGATGTAGTAAGGACCATGTAACGAATGATGGAGACTAACTATGAATTAATAGTCTCAGTCTCTTGGAGGAGTTATTATTGCTGGAACTTTGGAAGTGATGTTTCATGTTTGGGCCATATCCTTAGCAAATTTTGCTTCAATTCCAACTAAGATTTAATTTGACACTTCAGAAAGGGTCTCGATCACAACCATTGATTTTATTAGTGTATTGTTGGCGGTTTTGAATCCACTGTATTGTTTAACATTCACATAAGTCTAGTCTCTATCAAATTTGAAAAATTAAGTTCAAATCTTATCAAAAATAAGTTTAGATCTATTATGTTTCGAAAATCAAGTAAAAATAACAATTTCATAATGTAATTTACAGTAAATATAAATGTTATTTACAATACTACTTTGCTAGTAACTTGTGATATGATATGGTTCATAGTATTCTAATATTTTAAGATCGGGAGAACATGAATTCTTTTTGTTCATATATGAACAACCCTAATTATTGTATGATTTGGTGCGATCTAGACCGCATTCTGAATAACCCTAATTACTGTAACAAGAATTAACATGTTCCTTTTATTGCAATTTGATTGCACTATAACAAATAAATTTTAGTTCCTTTTTGCACTACAAATTCTTCTAAATATAAGATTGGTAGAGTTCTTTATGAACCAACCATAATTAACCCGTTAAAAATCCTATCCAAAATCATAAAGTGAAATCAACTTTACTTTTCTTACTTAATTTTATAAAGTACGTAATTAAAGCTTGATTAACAAGTGAAAGACCTTCTAATCATTGTTAATCCTATAGTTATCATAGTCTTGTTCTTGTACCTACAATCAAGGGAAGATTAGAACTTTGCTACCCATTATAAACTAAGTCTTTGACTTTTTAATAATTCTTTGAAATCAATCTATTCAAATGATATAAAGTGACCCAAAAATATATTTTTTTAAGACAAAAATGACACGACAGTCTCACGCTCTCACTCCAAATACTATTATTACAGATCTAATCTATAATAATAAACAATTTTTTTTTTTTTTGACAATCATGAACATTATCTATTTACTTATTTATTTATTTATTTTATCCATTATTAGCACAATCTATCTATATCAACTAACCCCACAAAAAGCCATGACCACTATTCAAATTTATGAACCTTTAATGAAATTTTGAGGGAAGAAAAAGGAATACAGTATGAAAGAAGGATGATTATTATTATTTTTATTATTATAGCAAGTTTTAAAATCAGGAGAAACATTAATTATTTAAAAACTTGCAAAAGTTGTAATTGTTCCTTTTATCCCATAGGGTGCAAATGCGGAGACACAAGCTAAAACTTTTGTCAAAATCTACAAAATTCTTTTATAATAATTGTCAAATCTACATGATTAACAATTTCAAATCATAAGATACAATATTTTAATCCCAATTACTGTCTCATTCAAGAAAAACTATATTATGCACGTAGAAGATGAATTTATGCATCTAATTGCAACAACTAACTATAAACAACCATAACAAATACTCGGTACTATATAATACAACTAGCAACCATCCTCAAAAATGAATTAAGATTTATTTCAAATCTAAACTTTATTGATTTAATTACTCCCTTTGTTCCTATCATATTAATCTATTACACATTTAAAGATGAAGTATACATTTAAAAAAATATAGCAATTGGAACAATTTAACTAAAAAAACCCTCACAAATATTAGTCAATCATAGCAGTAAAATGTCAAACCGTATTTTTACGGTTTGGTTTGGGTTAAACCTCAAACCCCACTAAACTGGACTACGTACATCCCCAAGTAACGTAATACAATCATATGGAAAAGGGGAGAGTACATCTTAAACACACAAATATACCGTCAAAGTGAGATTGTGAGAGTGAGGGATAAATCAACTGGTTAGACCTCCCCTCTCGACTTCAGGTGATCTTGAAATCGATTCTCATCACCCGTCCTTATGGTTCTCTAAACACCAAAAAAATAAAAAACAAATATACCGCCAAAGTGAACAAACGTATACATCCAACCAAAAAAGAGTAGGTAAAAAACGGTAATTGGAGCTTAAAAAAAAAAAAAAAAAAAAAAAAAAAAAAAAAAAAAGGCAATAAAAATGGTCAAAAACTGAAATGATCTTAAGCATTAGCATTTAGCACAGTATCCTGTTCTTGTTGCCTCCTCTGCTTTCTCTCCCCTTTTCTTGGCCCCGCTTATACAGCAACTCTGCTAGCCTTACGCCGTCTTCTACTACAACCCACCTGGATCGTCTCTCTATTTCTCTCTCTAACCCTCTAAATTATAAGTCTTGTTGGATTAGAACTTTCTAGATTAGTGTGATTGGCTTAGTTCCTCTTGAAATCTGAGAAGAATTTGATAAAATTCTGATTTCCCAGAAATTTTGTGCCCTTCATTTTTGATTTTTCATGATTGGTTTTTTTGGGGTTTGAGTTTTGAGTACAATTTCAGCTAATATTAGGCCTTTTTCAGTTTCTGGGTATTCTTCCTTTTGCTGCCAATTTTTTATATAATAATAAGGTTGGTGTTTGTTTTGTGTTTTTTCTATAATTATTGTTTGATTTTGGATAATTCTGATGTGGGTTTTTCTGGGTATTATATTTTAATCAGGATTGTATCATAAAGATTGAATTTTTTAACCTATAATCAGTTCTAATTAGTGGGATTATTATAGTATATGGTGATACTGTGAGTCTGTGATTAAACAATTAGTTTGACTAGTACCTTTAAATTATTCTAATTGTGTGTATCTTTGTGATTAGGACATCAGTTAAATAAGATCTCATTTGGGCTGTTTTTATTTTAATAATTTAAAGGGTTTCCTTCTAACTGTATATGCCACTCATTCCTGTAAACTTTGAGCATGAATTTCCACAGAAAGTGTTAAGCTCAATGAATTGTGAAAACATTGTTCTTAGAGCTGGATGCCCTTTAATTTGGTTTTATTGATAGAAATTTAGATTTGAATGAAACTGATTCGGTTCGGAACTTGGTTGCAGGACTTGGCTTTGCCAGAAGAGAAGTTTATGTTGTGAAAGATACAATTTTGGTCTGTAATATGCCTTTAACTGAGCTTGTTAGGATGTTCAAAGGGAAAGTGGATGTCACCAATGAAGTTGCCTCTACTTCAATTGATCCTTCTTCTAGGTATGCTTGATTTGGTGGATAAAAATTGTATTAGTAGCTAATCTTTATTGGTTAGGTTTTATTTTGGTCATTTGAATATACCTTTATTTTCCCTTATTGTGTACTTATATTGGTGTATTTTTGGGGGGAATTGGATGCAGACCTGATACTGATTGTGTTGAGCTAATTTGGGAAAATGGTCAGATTATGATGCAAGGTAATAAAGCTAGAAAAAGTACTAATTCAAACAATTTTCAAACCTTTGGCCTCAAGTCTCAAGATGGTAGGAATGGTACTAATTGCTCGAAAATGGCCAAGTTTAGCACAATGGATTCTGTAATGAGTGATTTTCCAATGTCTGTACCTTCTTGTGAAATGGGTTTGGATCAAGATATTGACTTGGTACCTTGGTTGAATTATCCCATGGAAGAATCTTTGCATAATGACTATACTTCTGACTTCTTGAATGAGTTATCAGGAGTTACAATTAACGATCTCCCTACGGAGAATCATTTAGCATACCGGGAAAGGAAAATTAGTTTTCATGGTGATGGCCATGATAATTCTGCAAGCTTGAAGCATAACGACACATCTAAGGATTTTTCAAGTAATGAGAAGGATAATAGAGGGGGAAGTATTGAGGTACCGCAATTTATGTTTCCCTTCCAGCAAAGTGTCCCCAGATCAGGAATTTCTGATATTACTGGTAGCAATGCAGGCAACACCCACCATGTTGGTTCACGAGACTCCGGTCTTAATCCATCTTCACTAAGTGCTTTTACCAGCTTGAGGTTGCAGAAGCTGGATGCTGGGCAGCCTAGCACTACTAGTTCGGGCTTTACAAATTTTCCCTGCTTTTCGCGGCCTGCTGCTCTTTCTAGAGCTAATCATGTGAGTGTAAATCCCTCAAAGAGATTAGAGAATGGGAATAAAAGGTGCACCTTGAGTAGTAGTTATCCTGCTAATTCTACACTGGTTAATTTGGATAGTAATTATTCCCAGAAGGAACTCTTATCTCACAATCAATCCATTATGGCACCAACAAACGACAAGTCAATTACTTTGCCCACAAAGCCGCCTACTGAAGAGCTGCTTTCTGCTAATCAACCTATGTGTAGAGAAGACACAGCTAAAAATCAAGCGTCGCAAAATCAAGTGTGTGATTCACCAATGAGCAAAGTGGGTACCATTGGTAATAAAATCATGGAACCAGTAGTTGCAACATCTTCTGTATGTTCAGCCAATAGTGCAGAAAGAACTTCAAATGAGCCTGCACGTAATTCGAAAAGAAAATTTCGTGAAACAGAATCAGAAGATCCTAGTGACGTAAGATTTCTTCTTACTCCTGATGAAATCTCTGCTTGTTGTCATTCTATTTTTCAGTTCTCATGTTAAGCTGGAAATTGCCTAACTTGCAGGAAATTGAAGAGGAATCAGTGGGTGGAAAAAAACCTGCTCATGGTCGCGGAGGCTCAAAGAGAAGCCGGGCTGCAGAAGTGCATAATCTATCTGAAAGGGTGAGCTCATAGTTTGCAAATTAGTAGTATCTGTAGTTGTGAGACTGGTGACAGTTGCTTTCGGAAACTAATATGTACCTTTTGAAACGTTACCAACAGAGACGAAGGGATAGAATTAATGAGAAGATGCGTGCATTACAAGAGCTCATACCCAACTGCAATAAGGTAATTCTTTTGATATTTTCGATGCCTTTGGTTAGATATACCATCTGTGTTTCAATTGAATTCTTGGGGTGTTAAGACTCTAGATATGTAATTGGTACTCACTTTTCTATCATACACGACTCTGCTAACTATTCCTTTCCAAACACTAGGCGGACAAAGCTTCTATGCTTGATGAGGCTATAGAGTATTTGAAGACCCTCCAACTTCAGGTACAGGTGAGCTATTAGGTTGCTGTGGTAGCTTGTTTGGTATAATTGACATATCAATTGTATGGCAATGAAGTTTTATGTGTAATATTGGATTGAACATTGATGTTCAAGGTATTGATTCTCCATCAGCAGCATTTGTTTTTCTTCATCCATTTTCATTGCCATTGAGAGATGTGGATATAAGTGATGATGAAAATGAATGAAAAGAGAAATGTCTGTCTAGTGTCTATTTAGATGCATTTCGTCGAACATTGACACGGAAGACTTCATTACCATTCCCTTGATTTATTACTTTGTACCCAAAATGCCTTAAGAAACAGGACAATCCGTTGGCTTACATCAATTAGTGGATGCTGCAGGTATTGTCAATGGGTGCTGGGATGTATATGCAGCCTATGATGCTACCACCAGGAATGTCGCCGATCCATGGAGCACATGTGCCACATTTCTCTCCCATGGGGGCCATGGGGCTTGGAATGGGCATGGGAATGGGCTTTGGGATGAACATGCTAAACATGAATAACAGCACGAAGATGGTACCTTTCCAAGGCCCACATTACCCTATCCCTGGAACCGGGCCTATGTTCCAGGGAATGCCGGGTTCTAATCTTCAGGCATTTGTGCACCCTGGTCAAGGATTACCAATGTCCATGCAGCAAACTCCTACAGTTTCCGTTCCAATGGGAAGTCTTTCGAAAATGCCCATAGGATTAAATGCCTTGGGTGTTGCTGGGTCATCAAATGCGACACATCTAGCACCATCTAGTAGTAAAAAGGATGCGAACCCACAAGTAATTTCTAGCATGGATAGCAACAATGTTAACAGCTCGATGAATCAGGCAACAAATCAGGTATTGGCATTTTGTGCCTACATTTGGATCTTTTAGTATTGTGACATTATTGGTCTTCAATAATTGATACCATCACTAGATATTTGCATAATTCATATATTTTGAATGATTTGGACTTTCCTTGTTCCTGTGAAAATACATCTGGGGTCAATTATTGAACAACATTAGGACTGTAGGACTGTTGTAAAATGACAAAGTTGGCTGCTAGCCTATTTTTTAGTACTCCCTCCATTCAACTTTTATATTTATTATTGTTTAAGAATATGCTCAAGTTTAAACAGAGGTAAATTATTGCATTGGTTTTCAAAATGATATGTTTTCACCAGAAGTTAGGTATTGCATTGTTGTCTTAAAATAGCCAATAATAATGCATCGAGAAAAGTTAGTTAAGTAATCCGGTGGAGGGTAAGCCAACTTTTTATTGTTTTGATGGTGGGATAAATATTTTCTACAACAAACCTTCACCATAACTATGTGTATTCAAATTGCAGACATCAAAAGAGGGTATTTAGGAGTCTGCGCTTTGTGCCATAACCAAGGTCAAGATGTTAATGCCTCAGAAACTGCTGAAGCTGCCTACAGAAACGACACTACGCATAGCTGACACGCCTGACAGAAACTTGTTGCCTGCCTGTAGTGGCAAACTGCAACATGTCATCTTCATAGAATGTACAAAAGTATTGACAAGTAACCTGTTTCTAAGTGTATATTCTCAGATTAGATGTTTGATCAGAGGTGCTCCAAACGATGAGAATTTCTCAGCTGTGAACTCGTGACTCCTGTTAATGGGAAGTATAATATGCTCGAGAGTGGCATGTCTGACTAAAATGCAGAGTTTTTGCCCTCTACAAACACTAAGGTTAGGTCTTTTGTAGATCTGTACATCTTATGAAGATGACACTGTACTTTGATATCCTAGTGCTGATCTCCTAGAGGTGTATATGTGGTTTATGTATATTTCCAGTCCAAAAGCCTTTTTTTCCGAGGAAGTACTTGTATATGATATAGTTGTCGTCATACATCTCTAATAATTCAAGGGAGCTGTGTCTCTTTGTCATCACCTACATTAAACTAAACATCGAGGAAATACTTCTGTAAATGTACACCAAACATGGTGGCTTTGATGATTTCATAATGTAATACTGTACTGTATGAAATAGTTGGATCAATATTTATTTCTGCATATGAAAATAAAAGAAATTATTGGCTTTTCCTCTCTGTCTTTAGTTTGTATCCAAAGATTCCAAAACAACATAAGAAAACATTTTCTTCTCAGGCATACTTAGATTTAGCTACCCGATATAGAGTGAACTAATGCACTCTCTTAAAGACCTGACTTTTCCCGAAGTTGATTTATTTTCGGGTTTGTAGGGAGCCATGGAGGACAGTGATGTAGACAGAATTTCATCTCTACTGTAAAGTATCATATCTAAAACCTTACCAACTATCTAGACAACCAATTTGGTTGTAGTATGCAAATTGATTAGCTATAAAACATGTAACTGATGTAAGTCAAAGATTACTTTTTGGGATTAGATGTGAATGCACGCAACGTTTGAAAACCCACGGCAGATCCAGACCAAGTATTGCTAGTGAAGATTGGAACTGACACATATGCATGATCTATGTCTGGATATAATTGATTCAGCAACTCCAGCAATTCTTAAAGTAGTCAATTCATGGAAGGTAGGCTTTAATGAGAAATTATGAATATGGAGTAGAAGTAGTCATAGTTTTCAAGGGTGGTTCTGAGCATGTGCAGGGTGGTCGATCGCACAGGACCCCTAAGTGAAACTACTATAAAAGAGCCTCGGTTTTTGAATTTAGTAACATATTTTTCCTAAAAAAAATAATTTTAGGGCCCAATTTAACAAAATTGCACCGGACCACTTTCAGCGTTAGCATTTATAGCCCCACCTCTGATTATTGTACTTATTTTACTAATTGCTCATGATTAACATGGAGTAGAAGTAGAAACCTAATTCTCCCTTCGTCGACTTTTGTTTGCCCAAATGTGGTTGTCACTTTATTAACTTTTGGCTAGGTGGAATCGGTAACAAAGAAAATTGGTAGAACCAAATGCAATGTATTTCAGATTAAATCGGTTCCCATAAACATTTGTAGTATGAGGCAAACAAAAAAGGATGGAAGGAGTAATTCTTCAAGTCACTTGAAATTAAGTTCCTTATATAATGAAACAACCGCTTACTCGACTTAAAAGACCTACATAAATTTTGTAAAGCAAAAGCTTTAGATGCTTTGATATCAGTACAGAAACATGTGTTTAAATCTACAAAACAAGCATACAGGATCTGTAACATTTATAGCTGCAAATTCAGAAAAGAAAAAACATCGAAATAAGCTCACGGTTAGTCTTGTCCTCAACAGAGAGCTGAAAGTGAAATTCTGCACCACCGTTTGTAAACCATCCCGCTCCTCTAAAGAAAACAAGAATAAGGATATAGTCCCATACGGAAAAAGTTACTAGGAACAACGATAATTAAAACTCATACGAGAAGACATAACTTAGCCTGGTATCAACAGACTTGGGGGCAGCTCAAGCAGTTTTAGTATAAGTTGCAAATAGAACAATTAGTAATACCAGATTGAAGCAAGCTATCCTCTGAAAATTTATCCTTTGAAATGGTATAGGTATTTTAAGCAGCTTCCCAGGAAATGGCACAACTTCTAACATACAAATCAGATTGTTGTTTCTGGACAAGTTTTATCTCCAATAGATACCATACTATTAGATAAAAACATGATATATGCCCACACATTCAACGTATTTCAGAGTTGTTCTAACAGCAGAAGACCAGGGAACATGCCAAATACCATGACATGGGAGCGAAGCAAGATAAATAGTTTTTAAATCCATATTCACTAAAGGAACAATGCACAAGCAAAAATGAAGACCCAACAAACTTCAATAGTCTCATTCGAATCATCTCTTCCACATTCCCTTTAATGCCTCTTTTAGGTGCAGTGGGCTCCAACAGATAGCAACAACCTACTACTTAAGTTGCAAGCCGGTGTCACACTTGGTTATTACTGGAACCATCTTCCACCCTTTCTACAGGCTCGCCCACATCTCCATCTATCATAAGTTTATTCCCTTCTGCCTCGTTGATCTGGCTACTGAGCTCCCCATCTACTTCTTGTGTCTCCAGTTTAGAGATAGTAACAGGCTCTCCATTGACAAAACCATTGCTTTCAAGAGCTTCCCCTACAGGATGATCTGTGTTATCCAAAATGCTATTGGGAACATTAGTGTCGTCTGCATTTTGCTCCATGGCAGCTTCAGATCCCTTAGCCTCAGAAGCAAGAGAAATGCTTTGTGTATCCGCAATTGATGCCACATCACCATCTGTGTGCATGTCATTTTGTAAACTAGCTCTATTGACCGTTTCAGAAGCTTCACCATCCTCCTGAGGTCTTACATCATCAGAGGAATCCACTTCCATGGCACTTACAGGTTCCGGAGTTTCAGAGCTCAGTAGTGAAGCCTGATTAGCTGCATTCTCAGCCAACTCTTCTAAGTGTTTCTTAGCTTCTATATCTTCCGCTTTTCTGTACTGATCCATGAGCTGCCGAATACTCTCCAGTTCAGCAACACGATCTCCATATCGTTTCTGTAAAGTTTTCTCTACCTCTTTCTGCTTCTGGACTTCTTCCCAAAGGCCCTTGATTCTAAATGAAGCTGCCATATTTTCTTGTCTCTGCAAAGCTAGGAAGCAATCCAATTCAGTTCCAGCAGTATTCATCTGTTTGAATGTGAGCTCGATTTGTGTCTTCAGTTTATCAGCCCGCATCTGAAATACATGAGCTATCACATCTTAGCATCATCATGGCTATAAATATCAAATACTACATCTACATGTGCTCTGTATAACAAATTAACTTGTACAACACAAAGATGAGCAAAGGATGGATGTGGTCTTGACCTATAGTCAGACAAAACCAGCAAGGTAATATGGTGAACACCACATCAGAAAGCATAAAGTTATAGAGCCTTGAAGAGCACGTAACCTCACATGCATAATCAAATGTATTTCTACAGACAAACTAGCTAGAAAAGCATGCCAGAAAATTGCGTATTCAAATCTTCTCATGGCCATCACATTCACAGTGCTCCAAGAAATTTGCAGGACAAATCCACATTAACCCTTCACATCAAACTACACATAAAAGTAGCCGCTTCACAAAGAAAGTAAAGATGTCTTCTGTCTTAATCTCCCTAATCCATAGTACTTGACCTACATAATATGAAAACAATCCAATATACTTCCTCCGTTTTCTTTTATAGCACCATAAGGACTTTTACACTATTCACATAACCTTCTTTGACCATCTTTGGTGATTTATCCGGAATGAAAAATAGTCATGTGGGATCTAGTTAGATTCTTCTCTAAAAATACTTTTCAAATATCAACTTTTTATAATTTTTACAAAAGTGTAATTAAAGATATTAATAGCCAAAGTATTGCATTGGCAAGCGTGAAACCCTTCATGGTGCAATAAAAAAAAAAAAAAAATAAATAAAAAAAAAAAAAAAACTAAAATAACTAAACTAATAGGAGGAAAGGGGATTACTCCCTGCCGGAATATTATAGTAATAGGAGGAAGTACAATATTTTTCTAGAGAGGATTCAAAGGAATTAAATTACCCTGTAATTTATCTCTTTAATTACAATGTGAAGATATCTTGTCCTCTACAGTAATCTTTTACTTGATTAATTAACATAATACTTTTTCTTATTTAATAAAAGAAATCTAGGTATGATCTTTAGATGCGTAACATATTTTTTTTAATATTGGTTATCAGAAACAAAACCATTTCAATAATACCTCAAAATTCCACGGTAATATGAAGAAAGTTGCTGTCATCAAAAGTGTTTGACATAGTAACTTAAAAAGAAAATGGGTGAAATTTCACTAGACAAGTACTACTAATAAGACAGGTATGAGCTATGGCTAAGACAGGCAGACAGCCAGAAAGTTGATGTTCACTATAAGTACATGAAGTAGAATGTAAGAGGTCAATGGCTCAACCGCTCAATGACGTTGTGTTTCAATCTATATATGATACCATTTAAATTAAAGTATGAAGTTGCTTAACACATGCTGTCCTTATTGGCTAATTCAGAGCAACCCCAACCACCCTAACTTTAGCACAAAAAATTAAAATAAATAAATTATAAATAAACTGAAACAAATTGTGAATACAGAAATATCAATTAAATAGAAATTTAACATAACAACCAACCTTATAACCATGAGTAAGAACATCAATCTTTTTCTCAAGCCGTTGTGCCTTTCTATTATCATCATCCATCTTCCTCTTAACATTTTCAAATTCATTTTGTAAGGCAGCAAGCTTCTCTACAGTTCCAGCCACACTGGAGAGACCATAAGCATTACGAGTGGGAAAATACATCAAATCATTTAAGCAAGTCTTGTGTGCCTCAACAAAATCATCTAAGGTCTCTTCCTGATGTCCCGTTGCTACACATAGATACTGCGCCTCTTCCTCAATGAATGAACCAGCCTGACACAAAGAATACAAGTCATTAAAACGTAAGAATATGAATTATACATACTAGATAATACTCGCAACATTGAACATTAGCAAATGAAGAAACTCGTGCACTTCAGTAGCAATAGATATATGCAGCAAACAGATCATTTCACAAATAAATCAACTACTATATCCAAGTTGTATTGATCAGTTGGATGTGCACAGTGCTTGGAGCACAAAATGTAACTCATGCTTGAGAATGGATAAGGGGGAAGGGGAGGAAATCAGCAATATAATTCCATCAGCATCCCTCTACTTTTTTTAAGTGACGCACATGATGCAGATTTTTTTTTTTGAAACAAGCATTTATTAATTCAATATAAAATCCACATTTTCTCAATGCTTAAACAACGTACTTTGGCCCTATTTGGCAAAATGTAGTTGCAGGGTTTGCGGTTAGTTTCTCTGTAATTGTGGTAGTAGCAATTATCTAGAACAAAATGTTAGCTGGGAAGATTGATAATATAAGTTTGAGCGTTAGATAAAGTAGCTATTGACTAGTAGCAAGTTGTTACTGGTAAAAATATTTTTTTTTTTCCCTTAAAAATGTAGAAAAAATATCAACAGTCACTCTTGCTTGATAAAAGCTACTC